GAACTGCCAGGCTTCTGGTTAGCAATCAAATGCCTTAGGCACTACACCACCAGAGCTCCTCTACACTTAGACCTCACAAAACTCTACTTACTCATATAGGTACTATGTCTCCATTTTTCAGAGAAAGATACTGAAGTTCAGAGAAGTTAAGTGATATGCCTAAAGGCAGTAAGCTATCCTGGATCTAAGATTCAGACTCAGACTCAATTATAACTCAGATTGAGACTCAGCTATAAGTCATTTCCAAGCCTGTCCCTTCTATTATCTTATTAAAGATTGATAATTATGTAACGAAATAATAACTACCACTTACTGAGCAACTACTATGTGCCACGTATTATTGCTGAGGCTTTTACATGAATTATTCTCATTTAATTCTCATAACACTGTGAGACTGAAACTATTAATATACCCATTTTCTATATAATGATGACACGGAGGCCCCAAAAAGTTAAGTAATTTGCCCAAAGTGACATATTAGTCATAGTAGGACTGTGATCTGAACCTGAGCCTCTGTACTGTTAGACATAGGCTGAGGTACCTAAAAAGCCATCCTACAGACAGATCTTTTCTCTACTTGACAGATAAGAAACTAAGGTCTAAAGGGGTTAAGTAACTTTCTAAGGTCACACATCAAGTAAGTGGCAGAGAGAGAGAACAGAGAGGGTGATGGTAGAGCAGAACAAGGACTGACTTTCCTGACTTTGCAGTACCCATCTCTCAGCCTGGCCCTGCTACATTAGAGACACTTTCCCAGTTCTCTGCAGGTGCTACCCACCAGGATCAGTAAGTACAAGGTAGTGTTGGCAGTCACAGGTGGCCCACCGACTAGAGGGAAAATGACCCTTTCTATACCCAAACATAAAGTCCAATAGAGAAAAAAATAAACAGGCTATTGAAGGTTAGATTTCCTCTCTTTGTCATATTGCTCAGTGCAAAGCAGAAAAAGCAATGAGTCATTAGGGCCACAGTTCTGGCACCATTACAATTTGCACACCAAGCAACATTTCTGCCCAAATAGTTCTTATTTCTCTGCCAGCTAACTTAAGAAAGCTATACATTCATTTATATTATAAGAGTATTAAGATTTGAAACAGATACCAAAAAACAGTCATTTTTACTGAAGAAAGGCTGTTTGATTTTTAAAATCAAATATAATCTCACAGGTCATGTCTACATGTACAAAATAAATGACAACATTGAGGCGATTGTCTGAATTGAATTTAAATTATTGACGTAATTCTTTCTTTTCACACAAATACATAGTTGGGAAGTGCCAAAGCAAAGTATGTAATAAAAATAGTGTAAATTTCTAAGGCAAACAGACCTTGGGTTCTATCCTGGCTCTGCCCCTTATAAGCTTGGTGACTTGGTCCCTCAACCTCACTACTCAGTACAGTGAGGATATTAAAATGTACTGCAATGGATTATTGTGAAAATGAAACCTAATAATGTGTGCAAAGTAGGTTTTTAGGTGGACCAGGAAAGGTTCTCAATAAATAGGACCTATTGGGCAATCTACTTCCGTAGTGATATTGCCTCGGAAACCCAAGGAGGGGTCGCTATGAGTCGGGTCTGACTCGATGGCACGTAACAACAACAACAGTGGCCCAACAGTAAGTTGCCAACCAAAAGGTTAGTGGTTTGAACCACCCAGTGGCTCCATGAGAGAAAGATGTGGCAGTGTGCCTCCATAAAGATTATAGCAAAAATAAAATAAAATAATAAAAAAAAAAACCTATGGGGCACTTCTATTTTGTCACATGGGGTCGCTATGAATCGGAATCAACTCGACAACACTCATCAACAACAACAACTGCTGTTATAAATAGTTGGCATTAGCTCTAGAGACGTATTCAACCATGTATAATTAAGGCAGTTCAAAGTACGGCTCCAGTTCTGAGAGTTCACTGCCAACTGCTCCCCGAACCTCTGCCTTTCCAAACACCTCTATCTCTGAATTTCTCCACTCCAGCATTATTTATATCTGGGGCTGCCGACTTCTGTGTTGGGGGTTGGGGGCAGTGCAAGAAGGAGGAGGAAACTGTTCTATGTATTGATGGATATTTAGAAGCAACTCTGGCTTCTAGCCACTAGATGCCAGTAGTAATCCTCGAGTCACGAATATAAGAAGTCTTCAGACATTGCCAGATGTTTGCTTGAAGATAAAATCGCCCTACCACCACATCTGCAGACCCTTCCTGTTATCAAATGTCTAAACTGCTCTCTTTTTTCTCAAAGGCCTTTTACATAGCAATTTGCTTGAAACAAGAGAACCTCCAGTACTCTAACTGTTGTTGTTGTTGTTGTT